AGAGGCCAAAATCATTGGTTTCCGTAAGTTTTTGAAGGATTTTGGCATTTGCTTCTTCTCTGCATTCCGACGGCTCAAGACGGCCCAAGAGGCTCCCAAGATCGCCCCAAGATCAGCCACGAGGCCTCCAAGATGGCCCCATGACGGCCCAAGAGGCCCCCAAGACGGCCCCAAGAGGGCCCCAAGACGGGCCAAGAGGCCTCCAAGACGCCAAAGATGGCCTCCAAGACGGCCCCGAAGCGCCCCAAGAGGGCACCGAGCCTGTTCAGAGAGGCCCCCAAGACGGCTCCCGACGGCGTCACACGGGCCAGGAACGCCCGAAGACGGCCAAAGAGGCCCCCGAGAAGTCCCAAAAAGGCCCCAAGAGGCCCTTAAGAGGCTCCAAGAGAGCCCAAAATAGCACCAACATGGCCTCCAAGACGGTCTCAAGATGGCCCAATCGAGCCCAAGAGTGCCTCGAGAGGCTCCAGAGAGGCATCCTCCCCCTTCTCTCTTGTCCTCCTTCTCCTCCTCTTCATCTTCCTCCCCCACGTGTTCCCCGAAGGCTTTCCAAACCGACTCGGGGAACACATGGTCCGATAGCTTCGCCCCCAATCATGCCTCCAAGACGGCCTAACATGGCGTCCATTTTGCCCAAGACGGCCCAAGAGGCCCCCAAGAGGCTTCCAAGACGACCAAAGAGGCCTCCAAGAAGTCCTCCAGGAGGGCTCGAGAAGACCAAAATCATGCATTTTCCCTAAGTGATTCAAGGATGTTGGCATTTGCTTCTTCTCGCCATTCCGACGTCTCAAGACGGCCCAAAAGGCCTCTTCCTATTCTTCTTCATATTCATCCTCCCCCACGTGTTCCGATTCGCCGTAGGCGTGTTCGATAACGCCAACGATTCACTATGCGCTGATGACTCCTATTCGCCCCCGCATGCCGTTCCCAGATGCGCCAAAGCAGCGCCGAGACGCACCGACGCGACTCTGCAAAATCCCATTATGATCGAGAGGGGGGCGACGGCAGGGGGCGAAGCCCTTACGGATGTAGACATAGACAGATAAGTTTCCACGTACACATACACATACACATACACATACACATACACATATACATATACATGTACACATACATGCACTTACACATACACATGTACACATACACATACATACGCATGCGTAAACTATATGTATGCGTTTTCATGTACATTTGCATGTACCTATACATGTACATATCCATACATGCATATACACCTAAATATGCATATATAAATACATGTACATATGCATATATTAAAACAAGGTTTAGACGGTACACGTATATACATATACATATACCTATACACGTACACATTCATATACATGTATACGCACGATATAAACACCTACGTACACATACGCCTATACACGTACACATGCATATACACACATGTCCATACATGCATGTTTCCCTGTACATGTACATGTACATATGCGCGCACAGCTGCAAATACATGTACTTGTACGTATACACTGTCGTATCATTCACGAATCGATACACATATATATATATAAATAACCATAAACATATACACGCACATATACATGTACATGTACGTGTGTAGACATATCGAAGTGTGCATCGTCGCAAACATACGACTGCATATGCAAATATACATACGCGTATACATTCACATGCACATACACATGCATATACATATGCGCACACATGTACAAATACGTGTGCATATACATCTACAGATACGTACATACATGCATATACACACGCATACATACATGAACACCAGCATACAAGCATGCATGTAAATGCACATCTACATGCAAACAAGCGTAATGTATACATGCATGCATGCATACACACTACACGCCTGCATGCATATATGCATGCTCTGCGCACACCCGTTTGCCAACGAAGATGAATTGTCCAGAGAGGTTGCAGGCTGCCAAGGGTTGACGACGCAGGTGCTTGCTGCGAACGGAACTTTACGGAGCGCGCTCGCTCCCAAGATTGACGACAAACAAAATGTAGTAAAGGAAAGGAAGGAGGAGGGGAGGGCTGGTGGTGCACTTGAGCCCGATGTTCACGGATGCGACCATCGGCTATCGAAACATCGGCTTATCGAGGCGGCCGCGCTACAACTTAGAGCACTAACGTTTGAAAAAACTGAACCCTGCTCTGTGCACTCTCGCTTGCCAACGAAGATGAATCATCCAGAGAGGTAGCAGGCTGCCAAGGGTTGACGACACAGGTGCTTGCTGCGAACGGAACTTTACAGAGCGCGCTCGCTCCCATCTTCCCGAATCGATTCTGGCTAAGCCGCATGAGCTTACTCACAAAGATAAAGACACGAGATGATTGAGCTGGATTCGGTCGGGAGCCTGCACGAGCAAGGAAGCGGCCCCCCGAGCGAACGAATTAGGATACTCTTCCGCCCGGGCAGTGAGGTTCCTGGGGCCCCCAGGTCCGCGGCCCTGAAGGGCCACGCGAGGCCGGCGGGCGCGGCTGCACATCCCATGGACCCCAGAACACCGTTTGCAAAGCGCTTTGGGAGGAGCCCCAACATCCCACCCCACAACTTTAGTGGGCTTTTTCCAGGCTTGGTTGTGTTAGCACACGTGTGCCACGAACTCCCTACTACTATCTAACTGCGTGAGCTCTAAGACCACAGGACACTGCCACAGAAAACTAGACTGGGGGTTTTCCATTGCTACTGGAACACCTGCTGCAAGACACGCACGGATCACGCATACTGGAAAGAGAGCCGTTGCATTGCCAAACTGTACTTTGACTGCATTTTTGTCTGAGAGATCGGGCTTGCCATATATATATATATATATATATATATGCTGGGGCGTGCGGAAGGTGTTCCGACTTGCGACGCTCCACGTCGAGCACGGGGGGCAAGCCAGACGGCCCGCACGACTCGACTCCCGATCCAACCTCGAATTATTTTGAGTGCTGCACCCGATGATAAATCAAAAGCTGGGTCGGCCTTGACATCGAGGCGGAGGGCTGGCAATCCCCTCAGCCTCTCAAGCCACCTGCCGACGCGGCCTGTCCCCACCAAGAAATCCAGGAATGCCTGCGCCTTCCGAGGATGGCGGCCCAGCGTCTGGTCTAGCGCAGCTCGGAGCCTGCGCCTGACCGTCGCGGCCGACAGCTGGAGGGCAGAGCCAAGTGTGTCTCCTGAGCGCCAAAGCTGCCCAGCTGCTAGCGCCGCGGCCTTTTTGCCCCGGGAGGCGCGGCCACGGCCTTGCGCTTGGTGAGCAGGGCCTCGAACTTGGCGTCCACGTACTCTCCGTACTGCCTCGTGTCGGGCGCCAGCTGGTCCAGCTCGCGGAGGTATCGGGTGTGCTTCTTGTACCGTCGTGTCGATGCCTCCTGCGCGAGCCTGAGCCTCTCCTGGATAGTCTTCATGTCCCGAGTCTGGTGGAGGGCGTCGGCACTGGCGGACCCGTGGCGCATCTGGTAGGGGTTCAACTCCGGGAAGCCAGCCAACTGCGCTACCCTGCGGAACAGCACTCGGAATTGCGCGGCTGAGAAGGACCACAATGGCTGGCTTGGTCCGGCACGTTGTACCAGTGCCACCAGCAGAGGTCCCATCGCCGTCACCCTGTCGCTGTCCAGCAGGCATTCCTCGTCCCACTGGCCGGTCTTGCTCCTGGGCTGCTTCTCCTCGTGGTACAGGAGCAGCGCCCAGTGAGACACCCCTGTGGTCCGTTGGGGTGGGATGAGCGAAGAGCCGGCCATGGAGATCAAGTCGCTGGGGAGCCGGAGGTAGGCGCACCACGCAACCTCCAGGGCGATCGCCAGCTCCTGCATCCCCAGGAACAGCGCAGCGCCCACCAGAGCCGCCAGCCCTGGCCACGGCAGGGGCGCCCGCGACTGCCCGGGGGCCCGCTTGCGGAAGCCTCTCAAGGCTGCGCGGGCCCGCGGCAGCGCCTCCACTGACTGGCACAGCCCGTCGACGTCGAAGTACTTGACCGCTGCTATCAGTTTTCTCCCTGATCGTGATTGTAACCCTCAAAGAAGAGCGAGTCCATGTGATCGGACAGGGCCTGGTCCAACGCCTCCGGCGTCTCCAGTTTGAGGTCCTGCTCCTCGGCCCACCTCTCGAACTCGCCCAGGATGACCCGGAAGTACGCCACCGTCTGCGGCTGTGCCCGCGAAGCCTGCATGTAGCCCAAGCCCGCGGCCGCCGCCTCCAGCGCCGCCTCCCGCTGCGTCTGCCTCAGCGTCGCACGGCGGCTCCTCCTCGCTTGAGCTGCTTGAAGAGCTGCTCCAGGACGCCGCGGCAGGTCCACCTGGGGTCGACTCGGCTGGCTCGAGCTGCCGGCCGACGGCCGCCGCAGGCTCGCCCAGCCAGGTGTCGCCGAGGCCGCAGAGGCCGGCCGCCTCAGCCCCGCCTGGTTGGCGGAGGAGATGGTTGTCGATCTCCCCTTCGAGCGCCAGGTCGAGGCGCGCGTCGGCCGCGTGAGCATCCAGGTACCATGCGGATCGTGGGTCTGTCCGCGGATCTCTCGGCTCGGGCCGAGACGGCAACGCTCTCGAAGGTCGGTCTGCTGGGTTGATCTCTGAAGCAATCCATCTGAAACAACAATGAACGTTGGCAAACAAACTGGGTGCAAGAACCTCTTGACACGTACGATTGACTGTTAAAGTAGTTCCCCAGCCCTTGCTGAGGGCAAACACCATGGACATGTTATCACATAGGAACAAGTGACGAGCCCCCTGGGACACACGAGAACGTAGCCGACGCCGAAGCCCCAGCACCACCCTTCGCCCCTCAGAGCGCAAGATGTTCTCCTGACGAAGCCAACGACCTTTTGCGCACAGGCGCCAACTGCTGTCGTCACCCATCTGGCTGGGCGTGATATGGTCGAAAGATACTCCTGCCTGTCGGGACATCGGGCGCTTAGGCCCCTGCCCCTGCGGCAAGCCGAGGGTCTGAGCACGAGCAGCGGTGGCATCTGAGACGCACCACCGCCACTTCTCGGCCTGCCCCGCCTGGCCCTCACGCTCTCCAGGCCCCAGTCGGCCCCCATCGCGCCGCACCCGCCGAAGTCGCGGCGGCTGGCCCCCGAAGCGTCGGACACGGCCGCGACAGTGCTGTAGGGCCGCTTGGCGCCCACGAACGCGAAGCAGACCAAGGCCGCGGCCCGCCGAAGCTCGGCCTCCACGCATGGCCAGAGCCTCCACCTCCTGGAGCCGGCCAGCGCGATGAACCTGTAGGTCTGCGCGAACACGCTCAGCAGTTCACGCCGCAGGATCGCCGCCCAGCACCAGTGGCCGAGGAGGTGCCGAAGCTCGTCTCCCGAGGCCCACCCTCGGGAGGCCGCGTGCAGGAGAGCCAGCCTCAGCTCCCACGTCCGCGACCGCGAGAGCTGTATCTTGCCGGAGGAGACCTCGAAGCTCAGGCCCGTGAAGGTGGCGTCCGACCCGGCCGCCTCCACGCCCTTGCAGTTCAGGCCCAGCGTCTCCAGCTTGGCGGCGACACGCTCGCAGTCGGAGGTCACCAGGTCGGCCTCGAGCCCACCGCCGCGACCCCGGGTTGCGGCCCGTCACCGACGGGGCTGCACGGCGGTCCTGGATGAAGTCGGACAGGGCGAAGCCGGCAGCCTGGACGCCAACCATCACCATACATTGGCAAAAGCAAAGACTCCACGTCCACCCCATGGGAAGCACCTCGAGGCAAGGTGACGCCCACGTCTCGACCCCCGCTGGAAGCTGATCTAGGAGGTCTGGCCTCAGCTTCAGCGGGGCGGGAAGGTGAACAGCCCTCAAGACGAACATCTCCTGCGCCCCGCACGGCAGACCGATCCTGTAGAACGCGCTGTCCACGTCGGCCTGGGCGAGGTGCAGATCCTGGCCCATCGGGACCTCCAACGCTGACCAAGCCCCCGCTGTCGGGAGCACCGCGTGCGCTGGAGCTTCAAACAGATCATTGACACGCCGAGGGTCAACAATTACACGCTGCATACCATTCGATTTGTGCACAAAGAAGGCGCCCACTGTCTCCTCTCGCTGCTGCTTCAAGGAGACTACGCTGGCGTCCAGCAGGTCACCGACGAACTGGGCATAAGTAACTCGAGAACGGAACTTGCCGTCGTAGTGGGGCTTGGGCGCCTGGCTGCCGCCCTCGGGCTGTCGCTTCAACAGCTGCCTCCATCCTACCCATTGCTGTAGAGCTTTTCCCTCCAGGATGCGGCTGCCATCGGCGAGGGCGCCCCCCTTCGGCACAGAGACCAGGGACCGGTCGTAGGACGCGACGTGCTCCGGCTCGAAGACGTAGCCGTGCCCAGGCCCGCACAGCTCTCGATGGGCTGCCGCGGCATTGCAAGCTGGCGGCGGCCCAGCGTCCCCCACCACGTGTCTGACGTGCTCCAACCCACACTCCTGCGCGAGCGAAGCCCTGCCGTCGACGGGCAGCGTGCCGTGACCGTACAGCTCATTAATTGAAACTAGAACTTCCTGCACCCAGGCGTGGAGGTGCTCCTTCTTGCGGAGACGGCTCCTCACTGCACGGCTGCAGGCGCCCACTGGGGGCGCGGGCGGCGGGCCCGCGGGGAGAGCCACTGGCAGCAGCTCCCGCGGGACCGCCATGGGGACCTCGTAGACTACTTGGCCCCCCGGCCGCCACCGCGGCCGCGTCCTCCGCCAGCGCCTCCGTCGCCAGTAGGTGCACTCTCTCCGACCTTGTCCATCAGCCTGCGGACCTCGGCGGTCTGGGCGTTCACCTTCTGCTGCAGCCCCTGCGTCGCTGCCGCAGAGGCCCCCCCCGCGCCCCCACTGCCGGGGGCTCGGCTGGCCTGCCTCTCCGCCTTCAACTTCCTGCGCTCCTTCATCACGGCCGCCTCCCTGTGGAGCTACTCAGTGATGTGGTCCGAGAGGTCCGGGCTCACCATCACCAGGCCCCGCGCGAGGCCCGTCCCCATGTAGAGGATCTCGTCCTCGGCGACCTCGTCCCCCCCCTGCTTCCCCAAGATCTTGTCGCGGTATCTCATCTCCGCGAGCTGCGCTCTCCGCAGCAGGAGTTCGAAGCTCGCCAGCTCCGTGATGTTGAGTTGGTCGTAGACCACGGCCAACTCTATCATTATCATCGCCAGCTCGTGGTCCTGACAACCAACATCCTGACCACCCACCCCCGCTTCGTGTCTCCATTTCGTGTGCCGCGCGCGGGGGTGGGTGTCTTGCTCTGCTATAAAGTCGAGACACCACCGTGCGGTCCTCGGGACGAGAATCGGCCACGCCGTCCAGCTCGTCTCGGTCATCTCCTTCACGCTATCCTTGAACGGGCGCCGTCTCTCTCAGTTCGGGCTCTGGATGATGCTGAGCACGCGCGCGTCGGAGTCTAGGTCGTCGTCGACGCCCGTGCTCCTCCGCAGCAGCAGCACCTCCGAGTCCTTCACCGCGAGGCCCCCGACGTCGCAGACAGCGAACTCGTCCACGCTCCAGCTGGTCAGCAGCGACTTGCGGGGGGTGGCGCCTGTGCTCCAGACCACCTGCCAGCCGTCGGGCGACGGCGCCGGCAACGATCGTGAGCCGATCTCAATCAGACTCGCCGCCGCTCCACCCCCAGCCGCCGCTGCTCCCAGCCGTGGCTCCTGCCACTGGTCGCCGATGGACAGCTTGATCATCTTTGCGAACTCCAGCGGCGTGGCGCTCCAGTCCGTGCCATACACGCGGGTGCGGTTGCTGAATCGGCTGCCGAGGTGGGTCGCTCGATCTGGTCGGCCCGCGTCGTCGCACAGGATCAACCCGCTGAGCGGACCCACGTCCAGGCAGTGAGGGTAGGCGTCGCCGTCCGGCGTCCCGCACCACCACACCTTCCCAGCCGCTATCTGATCGGGAGTCGCTTGAGTCTCTATGATCGACAGCAGCTCGTCGGCCGTGGCGGGGGCGATGGCGACGCGGGCCTGCCAGTCCTGCCCATCCCTCCACTGCACGAGCAGCCTCCTGCCGGCCTCCACAGCCATGGAGACCCCCGCAGCACAGGGCACTCGCCAGGATGAACCCGAGAATGAACGAGGTACTTGCCAGGCCGCGCGCTCCGCCGAAGAGGTCCAGCACTGCTACGCACTCACCTGTGTTGGCCACCACGGGCGCCAGCACACTTCTGACTGTCTGAGAGGCTTCCCAGCCTCGACTAAGTATACTCCAAGAATTGGAAAGAAGGGCAAGCTGCATGCGGGCTAGCCGCAAATTAATGCACTTGAGCCCGATGTTCACGGATGCGAGCATCGGCTATCGAAACATCGGCTTGTCGAGGCGGCTGCGCTACAACTTAGAGCACTAACGTTTGAAAAACTGAACCCTATGTACATGTATGCATGCACAAAATTTACATGCATGCATTCATACGTACGTGCGTACGTACGTAAGTACGCACGTACGTACATGCATCGAAACATACAAAATTCCATACATATACACCTGTATACATACAGACACACACATGATCACATACCTACATGCACGCATGCATGCATGCATACATACATGCATGCATGCGTACGTACAAATGACTGCCCATACTCGCTCTCCCGACCTTCGTCTTCCAGTCCGGTTCGCAGTTGTCGAAGAGGTCCCGCAGCTCTCCCCAGAGCGTCGCGGGGTAGATGTCCTCCCCAGTGCAGTCAGCACCATACCCCCAGCAGGAGGGCAAGGTCGTCTCCAAAGGTCTCAAGCAAGGCTCCTGGCGATCTCCAGGGGCGCCCAACATGCACAGGAATTCCGATCAGGGAGAGGAGGGGAAGGAAAAAACAGGGAAAGAGGAGAAGGAGGAGGAGGAGGAGGAAGGGGAGTAGGAGAAGGAGGAGGAGGAGGAGGATGAGGGAGGAGGAGGAGTAGAGAAGGAGGAGTAGAGAAGGAGGAGTACAGGAGGAGGACGAGGAGGACGTGAAGGAGGCCTCGCGGGGCCCTCTTGATGCCTCCTGGGGCTTACTCTGGGCCTCTTCGGGGCCCCTTGGGGGCCTCTGGGGGCCTCTGGGGGCCTCTGGGGCCCTCTGGGACTATTAGGGGATGAGTTTGCGACCTCTTTTATCCTGCTGCCCTGCCTCGCTCTTCCCCCCCCCAGCGTTGCCAGTGCGCTTGCGGTGTGCTTTGTTTCCTCCGCTTGTCAGTCGGGCGCTTCATTCTTCTGCTTCGCAGTCGTGCGGCGCTCCTTTCCTATGCCTCGCGCTATGGCAACCTGGAGGTTTCATTCCTACGGGTCGGCACTCCACCAAGCATGGGTCCAACAGTGATCCCACTGTTTTTGCCAAAGCGTTGTACAGATGCACGGATTCTGACCTGACCTGGGTGCCTCTGAGGAGGAGGAATCCCCAAACGGTCCCCTTTGACTGCACTGGGAATCCTCGAGGCTCGTGACATTGACAAAGTCCGGGGTCTCGCCGTCGAGGCGCATCCAGAACTGCCGGTCGGTGCTCTTCTGCTCGAGCCTTGGCGTGTCAAGGAAGAGGCCCGAAAGCCCACGCCGTGCCCAGAGCGGCAGACCTCGTCGTCGTCGCAGTCGCCGTCGCCGCCCCCATGCCCTCCGGGAAGGGGGGCGGAGAAGAAGGCGCGGAGAAGGCTTTGGGGGGGGTAGCAGCGCCAGGGGTTCCGTCCTGGCCGAAGGCATGCACGCGCAGTGCAGGGCAGCGAAGTGCAGCCTCCTGAGGCGGCACGCACTACGAAAACAAGTGCAGCGATGGCGGCAGGTCGTGTGGCACCGCCTGGCCCGAGCGTGGCGTCGCCTAGCACTGCCACCACAGCACCGAATGGCCTTGAGCAGCTCCAGACGGCACAGCACACGACACGACACGTCCTAGCACTGCACGCCGTCCAGGACCACAGCACGGCAACCCTGGCGTAACCCAAGCACAACACACAAACCACAACTGCGCGAGCAACCCGCGCCCGGGCCACGGGGGACCGACCCGAACGGTGCCGCCAGACAGCAGCAACCAAACCTTGGGCGAAGCCTGCTCAGAGAACGATGGGGATGGGCAGCAACGCGAGAGGAAGGAAGACGAGGAAGGACGGGAAGAAGAAGACGGCGAGGTGAGCAAGAGGAGCGAAGGGGAAAACACGACGAAGATAGAGGCGCGGAGGAAAGGGAAGGAAGACCAAGGGAGGAGGCGCCGAACGAGAGGACTGAGAGGAGAGGGGGGAAAAAAGGCGGAGGAGGGAAGCGGGCGGAGAAAAAGGGAGAAGGGGAGGTGGCAGGGAGACAGGCGGAGGCTTGCCGGCGTCTTCGCTGCCCCAGAGGGCCTGACGCCCGGGATGGAACGCGCCACGAGCCGGATCTTCGGGTAGTCCCACCGCTCCCCGATGGTCTCCTGGCTCGCGGGGCGCCAAGGGGGGGGCAAGGGGGAGAAGCCGGGGCAAGAAGGGGACGCGAAAGGGCGCAAAGGGAGGCCGAAGGAGGCTCCTGCCCCCTCGCTGCTCTGCCGCGAGGTCTCGCAGTCCTCTCGGCCCCCGGGTGGGCCGAGCAGCCGTCGGGCGCGGCGCTGGCGCTCTGGGGCGGTGGCGCTGGCAGCAGTGCCTGCACCAGCGTGGCGACGGGCACGAGACAGTCAAGACTTGTGGAGGGGACTGGTGCGGACAGACGGCCGAGTCGGACAGTCGGAGCACACTGGTGGCCTCTGCGTCCAGCCAGGCAGGGTTCAGCCCGGGGTGCCTGCCATCGCTGATCCGATCCCAATGATATTTTACGCTCCGAGGGTTGGCTAGCTGGCCGCTAACTGCACTTGGAGCTGAGGTACCTGACAGAGTTACCCGTCGAAGAACGCTTTGCACCGGAGACACACGCAGACTTTGTCTCGATCCGAACAAGAAAGACCGATGCATCTGTGCTCGAGATCCTGCAGTACGTCAGTATCGAGCTTGTGTTTTTTCGCGCGACCGAATTATCACGTGACCACACCCCTCGACACGCGCGCGGCAACAGTGGTCGCACTGCCAGCAAGAGCCGACCTGTATCCACTGGTGCAAATGGCGAGGGGGGGGCACAGGCTCGAGTTTATTTTATTTGCCTTGAGGCTTCAGACAGGTCACAGGCTGGCCGGAGGGGCAACAACCTACTCTGGGTTTCTTAATAAGCGTGGGGGGGTATCCCCCCGACGGGGGTCAACCTCGCCTCGTCGTCGCGCCGCGACGGGGGTCGGAGCGCCTTCGGCGCGCGGTGGCTGCCCGCCACGGGGGTCGATGTGGGGCTGTCAGCGGGGGTGACGCCCCCCCGACACTTCTTGAGAAACTCGGAATGGCCGCCATCCAGCAGACCATCTTGACAAGCGTCAATGCATCCGTCAAGCCACTCCGACTGCTTGGGACGAAGCCTCTCGCGGGCCAGAGCTCCGAGCCCAGCACCGTGGTCGGCCAGATCCTCGCCGACCTTCCGGAAAGCTAAACGTGCGGTGCCTAAAACCTGCTCCTCCGATGTGCGCCCTTTGCCTTTGACATGGTCCCCATTGGGCTGTCGGAGGTCCAAACACACGTCCCAGCACGGACTCCGTCGTGCGAGGAGGTGCTGAGACCGAGGCCTGGCCCACACATCAAGGAGGCCAGGAGAAGTCACGAGGAGGAGAAGAGAAGGGGAGGGAGGGAGGAGGAAGGCAGGAAGGTTCTAGAGGGTTCAAGAGGGGAGTCCTAAGCGAGCGTCCAGTGAAGGGTTCTAGGGAGGTGGGGGGGGGACAGAACGGGACGACGCCTTCGGAGGAGGAGGGAGCTCCTAATTGCCCCTCCCAACGCCTCCTCCTCCCTCCGCTTCGATCCTCCAGGCGGCGGGACACGTGGTGGTCGGAGGGCTCCAAGCCGTCCTGGTACAGGGACCGAAGGGCCCTCAGCAGGTAGTCGGCCTCCTCCGGCGCACAGCGCGCGCCCGCGCCGCCAGGACGGCCAGTGGGCGGCAAACGACGAAGACGGACTATTACGCCGAGGACGACAGCGACGACGAGAACGGCAACGACGACGAACGCAAACGATGACGACGAACAAGACCGACGACGACGACGACGACGACGACGACGACGACGACGACGACGACGACGACGGCGACACCGAGCGAGAACGACGCCGACAACGACGCCGACACCGACGACGACGACGACGACGTCGTCGACGACGACGACGATCACGGACAACGACGTTGACGACGACGACGACGACGACGACGACGACGACGACGACGAACGGACGACGACGACGACGACGACGACGACGACGACGACGACGACGACGACGACGACGACGACGACGACGACGACGACGACGACGACGACGACGGCGGCGGCGGCGGCGGCGGCGGCGGCGGCGGCGGCGGCGGCTGCGACGACGGCGGCAGCGGCGGCGGCGGCTGGGCCTGCGTCGCGTCGGCGGGCCCGGGCCCCGGTGCGCCGTGCGCCGCCCCCGGCGCGCCTGCCGAGGTCGTCCGGGCCGCCGCCATGTCGTCGCCGCCGCCGCGGTCGTCGACGTCGTCGTCCGTCGTCGTCGTCCGTCGTCGTCGTCCGTCGTCGTCGTCCGTCGTCCGCCGTCCGTCGTCCGTCGTCGTGATCGTCGTCGTCGTCGTCGTCGTGATCGTCGTCGTCGTCGTGATCGTCGTCGTCGGCGGCATCGTCGTCGTCGTCCGTCGTCATCGTCGTCCGTCGTCGTCGTCGTCATCCGTCGTCCGTCGTCATCGCTGCCGCCGCCGCCGCCGCTGTCGTCGTCGTCGTCCGTCGTCGTCGTCCGTCGTCGTCGTCCGTCGTCCGTCGTCCGTCGTCCGTCGTCCGTCGTCCGTCGTCCGTCGTCGTCGTCGTCGTCGCCGTCGCCGTCGTGATCGTCGTCGTCGTCGTCGTCGTCGTCGTCGTCGTCGTCTGTCGTCGTCGACGGCATCGTCGTCGTCGTCTGTCGTCGTTCGTCGTCGTCGTCGTAGTCGTGAGACGCACATGGGTCAGCGTTGCACTTGTCGGTTATTATCCGAATATGGCTAGCCCATTTGATATTACTAGTTTCCACAAGGAGCCTGCGCGCAGGATTCCCGCGGAACCAAGCGTGCTCTGATGCGCACAGCAATTGCGCAGGGGGGTTGCGCATGGCGGGTTGTGCATGAGGATTGCGCATGCCAGTTGCGAACGGGGGTTGTGCGTCTGTGTTGCGCATGCGGGTTGCGCATGCGGGTTGCTTGCTTGCTTCTTGCTTACGTGTCATTGCATGCTTACTTGCTGCCTTGCCTCCAGACTTCCTTGGCTGTGTCCTGGATTCCGTCTTGATTGCTTCCTTGGTTGTTTGCGTCTTGCTTGGTTCCTTCCTTCCTGCTTTGCTTGCTCATTTGCTTCCTGGCTCGCTGGGTCGCTGTATTACTTACCTGTTTGCTTGATTGTTTCCTTCCTTACCTGCGCCCTTGCCCCTGCCTCGCGCACTTGATTTTCTGGTACTTGCTTGATTGCTTGCGTATGTCCTTGCTTTCATTTCTGTCTCCCTGGCTTGCTTGCTTACCCGCTCGCTCCATTGCGTCTTTCCCTGCTTACCTGCACCCTTGATGACTGCTATTCCTGCCTTCGTTCACCCAGCCATCATGCGCACAAATGCCATCACGCGCATCAATGCCATCAGCGGGGCTACTCTTAAGTCGGGCCTGTCCCCCTACAGGCCGATTCTGGACGATAAATTAAAAATACCAAAAAAATATCCAAAAAATGTTCAAAAATTGTCAAAAAACAGTCCCCAGACTATTTTGTTGACATGTTTGAGTATTCCCCGAGGGACAGGCCCGACATAAGGCTACTCCAATAAAATACACCTCGTCCATTTGGAGTCCACGCTAGTAGATCTTGCAATTCGCGGATTCCTCCGCGGTCACCAGGCGTGCTCCACCCCACCAGGCATAAAATCGCTACTTTAAAAAGGGGGGGACGCACTCGTCCAGAGAGGAGAGGGGTCGAGCGACACGTGTCCCTCTAAGACGCCTTTCGACATGGCCAAACAGAGCCCCAAGAGGCCGCCAGGACTGCCCCAGAGACATCCGAGACAGCGCAAGAGGTCACAACACGCCCCAAAGAATCCAGATAGGACCCAAATGGCCGCAACCGTTAATACGAATGCCCGGCTTTTCGGCACGACACCGCGTCAGGAGTTGTTGAAAGACCTCGAGATGGCCGAAGAAAAGCCCGATAACTTCCCAAAACGCCCCCAAAACAACACCATAAGAGGGCCTCCGGAGAGGCACGAGACGGCCGAAGAAACGCCAAGACGACCCAAGAGGGCCCCCACGGGACCTCAAGACACCGCCAGACGGCCCAAGAGCCCCAGTAACTAACCATCAGATAGCATGAGAGCCTCGAATGCATCTGAATGGGTTACGCATAATGCAAAAACGTGCTTCCCTCTGAGGACGGGAGCGCGACCAGAGATTTCCAAGAAACTCGGCCCCAACCATAGTGCGACAGTCGCCAGGCAAAATCACGATGGTGCGAGGAAACTACTGTCAAGAACAGCTCGAGCAAGCTGGACATAATGTCAGCAAGAATGTCCGTACGTATACATGAAAGTTTGCACGCAACACACACATACAACATCATCAAGTACGCACGTGGCCACTCGAGCCGGCAAGAGCGCATGCGCGCCAGCAGACAAACCGGCCACGAAATCGAGCATACAGGCCTTCATGCTCACAAGCAGAGAAGCAAACGAGCACGCATCAATGCAACTTGCACAAGCACTCAAACAGTAAAACAAGCTGAAGTGCGCGCATACACACACACACACACATGCAAGCGAGTAAGCTAAGGAGCAAGCGTGCAACAATGAACTTGGCGAAAGCAAGAGTGTGGTAAAACAAACGTGGCGGTGCACTAGACAGCAATCGAGCATGCAGGCAAGCACGCACACGCACGCAAGCAGGCACGCAAACAGACATGCACGCAAAAGCATAGGTTCGCCCCCACAAACAAGTACAATTGCCAGTTCAAGCAAGCACGCATAGAAAAGATCACGTACCAAGCACACTCATTGGTATGCATACGCGCAGAGGCCTGGATCCATAAGTCAGCTGCTCGAGAAAAAGAAACCCTCTACACATTCCTGAGCCGTGGATGGGATCAGTCTTCAGCCCCGACGTGGCTAGACGTTGCTCCACTGACCCTTCCCGCCAGATCCTGGGGCGTCCTGGCGAGCCAAGACCCTGCGCATTAGAGTTTCACGGGCTGGCCATCGAAAGAACGAAACCCCACGCCAATGTCACCTCTCCCCCCACAAACAACCAAAAAAACGTTCGCAACACTGTCTAAACACGAGACCACTAAGCATTACCGCTGAGCACAAGAATACATTGAGGGATCTGCAGAACCCTTGAACGCTTCGCCAAAGAACGTCGGATCATACTCCCCAACGTTCCCAATGAAAACATGCACTCTCACGACTCCGATCGCAAACGGGACGAAAACAATGAGCGTGTGGGTCTGCGTGTGGCGCCGCTACGCTGAGCCTCCAAAGAGCCAACAAGAGTGTCATCAATTCCGCGGCAAACAGACCCCCCGATATCCGCCGCGAGGTCTCGTCTGGCGCGCGTGGCGTCGCTCCGCTGGCCTCCCAAGAGCCAACGAAGGTAGCGACGGTTGCGCAGTTTCGATGGGCCTGTTTTCCACCACCACCACCAGAAGTTCGAAAGGGGAAGGAGGAGAAGGACGAGGAGGAGAAGCACGAAGGAGGAGGAGGAGGAGGAGGTGGAGGTGGAGGTGGAGGTGGAGGAGGAGGAGGAGGAGGAGGAGGAGAACCACCCCCTCCTCCTCCTCCAACTTGTGGTGGTGATGGAAAACAGGCCCATCAAGTTTGGCAACCCCACTGGGCCTCAGGGATCCGCCGGGTGCAGCCTGGAAGTGCACGCGGCGTCGCTCCGCTGGGCCTGCTGGGGCCCCACAAGTGTGGCGACAGTTGGGTTGTTGGCTCGTCCTCCTCCCTCCTCCTCCTCCTCCTCCTCCTCCTCCTCCTCCTCCTTCTTCTCCTCCTCCTCCTCCTCCTCCTGCTTCTCCTCGCCGCACAGAAAGCCGCGAGGTCTCGTCCGGGTGCGCGTGACGTCGCAACTTTGGCCATGCCAGAGGCCCACAGAAGTGGTGACAGTTGGGCAGTCGGCAGCCCCACAGGAAGCCGCGGGATCTCGTTTGAGCGCGCGTGTGACGTCGCTCCACTGGGCATGCCAGAGGCCCACAAAAATAACGCGACAGTTGGCCAGTTGGCGGCCCAACAGGGGCCGCGGGGTCTAGTTTGGGTGCGCGTGTGACGTCGCTCCGCTGAGCCTCCTAGGAGCCCACGAAAGTGGCGACAACTGCGCAGTTGGCAGAACCTACGTAGGCAGTCGCGTGGTCTTGTCTGAGTGCGCGTATGGCATCGGTCCGCTGGGCTGCTCGTTGCGCAACTGGACCTTTTCTGCGGGCTCCTGGGAGCAACGCACAGGCAGAGCGAGGAGCAGGAGAGTAAGGAGGGAGGCAGAGGAGGAGGAGGAGGAGGAGGAGGAGGAGGAGGATGGAGAGCATGGAGACCAACAGCGCTCCCTCCAAACCGAGGACCCAAGCAAGGGAGGACTGGGAAAAACATGAACATGCTCAAAAGGTTTGTCCCCGAGCCCAGCAGCACACCCTGTTGACTGTGACGAGTGCTTTGTCGTGTGGCCCAGGCGGCGCCTCCGGGCGCCTCGTCGGAGCTGCCTCCCTTCCTGTGGGCCCCAGCGCTCCAACGCCCCGGCCTCGGCCCCCCCTGCGGGGGGCGCCGCTGCGGCTGCCAGCCGCGCTCCGGCTGCTTCCCCTGCTGCCAGCCGCGCTCCAGCTGCCGCCCCGGCTGCCAGCCCGACGCCGGCTGCCGCTCCGGCTGCCAGCCGCCGCGCTGGGCCTGCCGCTCGGGCTGCCAGCCGGGCGCCGGCTGCCGCTCCGCTTGCCAGCCGCGCTCCCGCTGCCGATCGTGCTGCCGCCGGCCGTGAGCTGACATGGCTGCGGCCCGCCGGCGCCGTCGTCGCCGCCGCCGCCGTCGTCGGCGTCGCCTCCGTCGCCGCCCGGGGCCAGCCGTCGTCGCCGGCCCCCGCCGCGGGCGGCCATCGAGGCCCAGCCCTGCGCCCCCCCCCCCCTTAGGACAGCTCCAAACAAAACAGTACACCACCACCAGCCCTGGCCAGGCCCATCCTGGGCCCTGGACTGGTGTACAGGTCACTCCTGGCCTAGGCCTGGAGGTCTATACACCAGTCCAGGGCCCAAGATGGACCTGGCCAAGGCTGGTGGTGGTGTACTGTTGGCGTCCCTCCGACCCCTCCAGCACGATTGCTTGGCGGCTCACGCCAAAGTGTGCCTCCGAACATGAGGCAAGGGCCTCCCCAGGCTCCCAAGCGGCTCCTGCGGGGTCCAATTCTGCCCAGATGGGCCCGCCCAAAGCTGTGGCACAAGATGGCACCCGGT